AACTAAAGTGTATACTGTTTAGTATTTACTGTTTAGTATCCGTTGATTATAATTATCAAGGGATTTACCTATAAATATATTAAATGATTTAATATTATGTTATTACTATAAATTTATAATTTTAAAAGCATTGTAAATATAATATTACTGGTAAAATTTTGATTATGAATTAATGTCCTCAACTTATTTTCAGTCACAGTATATATGTTTTTTTTTTTATCGTCTTCAGTCACAGTAATATATATAGAATTATGAATGTTCATGCAGCTATATATACCGACCCCAATCTCTATCCCATTCTTGTTCTATTTGGTCTCTTCTTGTCTGGCAGCTGCTGCCCTCCTCATTTAATGGGTATATATCAATAATGAAGTTTGGATTAGCCAATAAAGTTCTTAATGTTGAATTTTGAATTAATTCCGGTTACTGCTAGCTACTCCTAACTTTTACTTTATGTTGATGTTGAATTCAACTCTTGATTATTATAGGCTAGTTCATATCTTCTATTCGACGATAAGTTTTAGAATTCATGTCTAGATTGTTCTCACATTATACTATTTCAAAACATAATTTTTGGGGATTTACAATGAGTTATAGAACATTAAATCAAATAAAAAACAAGAAATAGCATCAAGAGTTTAGAGTAATGCACACTAACTATAAAATTTAATAGACGGTCAAAATCATTAGTTTTAAATCTCTCTACGTGCTTAGGACAAACATGAAATTATTCTTTGCTATGACATAGAAACTGAAGTTTCTTGAATACAAATAAAATTTTGAGATACCATTATTGTTCAGTTCAACCATCATAAAGTGTAATTTGAGCTAAAAAATACTATAATATTGTAAAGATTCAAAATATGAAATTGATTTATTAAAAATATTTTAATATTTTTATAGTAAGGATTGCAATTTTTATACACACTAAATTAAAAAAACATTTTTTTGTAAAAAAATTACATAAAGAACTTAAGAGAACGGTTGTGATGAGAGAAATGATTATTTGGAAAGGAAGAGAAATTTAAGAAGAGGCCAGGAGAAGAGAGGAGAGAGATTCTACCATCCATCAAATTTCTTTTAGATTAATTATAGTACAGAATTCTTACATTTAATCTATAGTACAATATTCTTAAATTAAAAAGTTATCAGCTTAATTTTATAAAGTTTTAACCCAAATTATGCTTTATGAAACCTTATTATTAAATTATCCAAATAAATTGTCTAGATTCCCTCATTTCATTGCCCTTTACCTTTTCATTATTAAAAATAATGTAGTTATAATATTATATGATATTATAATATAAAATAAGCAAAAAATCTTCTTAAACCCTCAAATTTATCTCAAAATAATATTTAAGTTTCTAAACAAAAATAAAACAAATAAGCGCTCTAATTCCATTAATGATACAAATAAACCATCTTTATTCATGGATATTCATGCTTCCAAGGTAATATTCAACATGAAATATTGTTTGCTCTATTTGTGAGAAGAGTTTATTTGCGTTGTTAATGATGTTGGAAGACTTATTTGTTTTATTTTTAATTTAAGAGTTTAAATATTATATTAAAATAAATTTGAGGCTTAAGAAAAGTTTTTACCTATAAAATAATAATATTGTGTTGCTATTACCTTAAAGGTACCTAGAACAATTTCACCATGGTGAAAAAAGTAGACTCCAGTAGAAACTAGTAAAAACTCTATTGAATGATTCCCAATGAGAGGTGAAACCTCTAGAGAACCACCCAAAAATTATGTCTCCCAACAAAATACGAATCCTCCATTCCAAGAAAAGAATCCTAAAAACCCCACAAATGCAGTTGCCACCTCACCCCATGCATGTCTGCCACCTCACCACAAATGAGATTTACCCGCCACGTGGCATCCCAGATCCCAAAACTTCATTGCCGTGATTCTCTCCGAAAATTAAATTATTCAGCAGTTAAATTAAAGTTTAACTAAAACATTACATAAACAAAAATGGGAGGCTTTATTCACAAGGGTAGTGCTTGTTCGATTTATTTTTAAAAAATTAAGAAAAAAAA